CCCTCTATTCTGCTCTCAGTCAATGCCCTTTTCACTTATCCCCTCGCTCCAGTCATAAAATTTATAAATGCATGCAATGAAGCTTACAGGCGCTCTATGATACCGTTTCTCGCCAGATTTCTTACAAACTATGAATTTGTTGCAGAAAAACTGCGCAAAATACTAAACGAAACTAATCACGAACACCCTGGTATGACATTGGTTTTTTGATGTTGCTGTGCGTTTCACTTCCCTAATTCCTGTATTACATTTTGATTCTTTTAATTTCTGACACACTGTGATTATGTGGCTTCTGAATATGCATCCACCCTTCGAAGTGTATAAAGCGATTCCTTGAGTTGACTTGACCAGTTTCTTTAGTTGTCGAATTGTTTGCCCAACCTACGTGGCTGTACATCGTTTACATCTTATCTTGTAAGTAAGATTCGATCACTCAGCTTTCGATCGTCTGTCCGTATGCCAAATCAGGAGTGAATGAAGGATGTTGGCTGGAGAAATTCAAAGCGCAGTGTGAATCAGCTTTCACCTTGTTCCCTTAGCTGATAGCTTCAAAAGGCGATAATGTGCTTTTCCCCGTGGGCGACGAACGACTATTTAAGGCCTTCACAATTTCTGCCAATCATGTTTAAAAGGTAACCGCAATGAAGATTCAAACCCTATTTTGCTCGTGGGTTTGCACCACTCAATCTGGTTTGGTCTGATCTCACACGCTTGCTGGTTGACAAAAGGAAAGTTTCCATAGGATCACCTAATTGCTTGCTCCATTGGAAAAGCTGATATCTGATCAGTATTTCACTGTATATTTTAGCCGATTCTTCAACTTTGTTATACCTCTACACATATATTGCATAAAGAAGACGAACATTTGCCCATCCAGGTGAGTAAAGTTACTACTACTTGTTTCAGTTGACTTGGTCTGAAAACGTCACTCCGGTCTAGTGATGGTGCAATGCATTAACTGCGCTCAATCGGCTGCTCGCCGATAATGTAGTGCGAGTTATAGTGAGTGTATGGATGCACACACGCGCAGGCATGGATTGTGGGAAATTGTGTACGTGTGTTGGTACACCAGAACTGGAGTCACATTATTCCAAAGCCTACACAGTGATTTTCTGTTATTTTTAACTACTGATGTGATTAGCAGTAGTAAAACTGAGATTTCGAATTCGGGGTCATTTCAGAATATGACTGCTGTGAAAATCCGATAGGTTAAAACGGGTGGGGGAGGGACGGTGGTGTTAATAGTGACAATGGGGTTAAACTCACCGAAAAATATCGACAAAGCAACCGGGAGACGTGGCGCCATTCGCAACTATGGTAGAATCCCGTTGTTCCAGTACGAGTAGGTCATTAATCCATTGTCTTGAGCTCAAAACCATGCTGGAAAGTGTCTGAGTCATAGGTCGAAATAAGAAAAATAGCACGGTACAGTGATTTGAGAAATGAAACCGAAGGTAAAAATATGAAACCAATCTCTGCAAATGATAGGGTTCTATTTTCAAAGGCAGTTACAACGGAGAACAAGTATATATAAACGGAAGTCTTTTAGCACCAATGGATGCACTCGATGCTAAGGTACAGGCAAGCCTCCAGTTGGAAAAAACGTGTTTGATGAAAGTGCGAACAGGGAAATGAGTGTCATTGCCAAAGACTCTGCACTGTAACTTTCCAAATGTGAGCCCTGCAGGGCGTCAATGATCGTTGAAATAAAGAGATACTATCAATAGAATCAGGTTTGTTTTAGCCACATCGTGAATACCAAAACACAAGATTTCGGTGACAACGTTTCGACCTTCTTGGAAGGCCTTTGTCAAGTCAGTTTAATCGGTTTCTCGAAAACACAAACCCTGATTCTATTGTTACCATGAGCACAACGCCCAAATTTTTCAAAATGATCCGGAACACCTATGGATTATTAACTGTTCAAAGAGATATTATATACTATATTACTATATTTATTTTCTGACTCAGCGGCTATTTTTACAGGAGCAGTGAATCTATTGAAGGATAACGGTCACACGAAGCGGATTGCAAAATAACAGAATGATCAGCATACACCGGAAATACAGAGGGATTCGTTTTATTTCCTTTATTCCTAAATTCATAAGACAGGAAAGGAGAATCAAAAGGACCCCAGGGGGAGCGAGAGAGAAGTGGTGTGACTAACCCCGCTCGACCATTGCGACGTAACACCACGATCGAGATTAGTCCTTTGCGACCAGGGAGCGAGCAGAACGCGAATCACCGGTCTGGTGATCAAACAAAGTGTTGAAAGTCCGTTCTTATCGGAAGTGTAACACCCAGGGGATAGTTCAGAGGACTAGGAGTTGTGAAGATTTCTCAATTCGAGGAAAATGTTCGATACTCCTGTATGCGTCATACTGATCTGCAAGACTGACTGTTAACCTAACAAACCGGATGAAACCATCTGCTTGAGAAACGTGACCAACTTTACCCCAGAATTATGGTTGATGACTGCCAAAATGGGTACTTTTAAAATTGACCAGTCATCGCAGCTGGAGTTCTGTATTGATCTTCACTAGAATCCGATTAAACCGCAATCTTCTTTTCATTCCACGTAGCAGACGGCACCGGTATCGTTTGTTCGACTGGCAGGAATCTATCATTAGAGGACTGGGATTTCGATCAGATGACCTCTGAATTTATTGTTCAACGCTACTCAAATGGTGGTAAACCGCTTTTCTGTCGTCCAAACAGGTGTTCCACCTAGAGGATGGAGGTCTGATTCTAGTTCCCTACTCTGAGTCCAAGGACCTAAGTTGACGGTTATCATGTATGAGTAGTAATGTGAGATACTACTCGCATTTGTGAGTAGTTAGCAAAGGATGCGGTTGGGGTCTCTTCCAACGGTCAAAAATGAACCTGTTGGAGCGAATTGCTGTGTTCAGTACGGTAAATACAAGAATGTGCATGTAATGGTGGACCGTTCCATTGAATATCCTGTGTGCGTGTGGGAATTTTGAAGACTCGTTCCAAATGAGACATTTTGTTGCATGTATATCAATTGACCGATACCCGATCGTTATTCATAATAAACAATCATCCTCGTCCAGGCACCGTCTTGTGGATTTATAACAGTAGATCCTCATGACCCCGATTCAATTGCTCACCACACTGATGAATAGAATTAAAAAATGTGCTAACCGTTAGCAGTAGCGTTGGTTCACTTTGGCGCTTCATTTCACACCGCACGACGGATAGCTTGTGTGCATACATATAAGGAAGTCTCAATAGGCGTTCGCCAACTTGTGATGTGGCGCTGATGAGACATTCGGGTGTCCATGAAGAGTTGACCGAAGTGGCGTGGCCAGTTTTATTCAGTGATGAAGAGATGTGGCTGTTACGGCAGGAGTGCAGAAACAAACTACTGGCGTTCGAACACGGTTGCTTATGCTGCACTGCATGAGCCCGGTGGAACAGGTAATATCGGAGTTGTTAGAAACGTATATTTCGGCAATCACGATTATCCAACCACTGGAGCAAGTGCTCATAATCAATTATAGTGCGATTACGGAGGCATATTTTAAGCACGACATCGAAGAAAATTTCTTGGGGGGGGGGGGCAGCTCCGGTAACCACACAAACAAAACTGACGTCGTACGCAATGAGAATAACGAACGCTTCCGCATTCAGACTGATTCAATCGTCCGGAAAACGTCTCCAACGCTGTGCATTCGACGTGGATGTCTACAATATGACTAGAAGCAAATACAAGAATGAATTTCGGAACCCAAAATCGGACGATTTGAGCGATAAAATGATCAACAAGAAGCAGCAATTGACACAGTAGTTTTACGAAAATGAACCCAAGAAAAGATACCAAAAACAACTGCCACTTACATCCAATTGTTCTAGTTCACAGTGATCATGAGCTTTATGACACACGTTCAGATCCCCAGCTATGACCACGTGACTAAAACCGATAAGAAAGATTGGGAGATCCAAGTGAGAAAGGAAAAATACAATTACCTACCTCATTTTTGAAAGGAATCCTACAAGCCAGGTCAAAGTACGTTCGAACAGAATCCGGAATTCTACACGCTTCGCTTCGGATTCCACAATTCGGGGAACGTAGACGGACAGAATGAGTACCGACCGACTCGGTGGTGTTTCCGCAAAATCTGCTGGGATTTTCAAACAATGGGCCGGTAAAACAACGGAGACCAAACGACCCTCCGACTCCAGCTGTTTTAGATCGGAACGAGAAATTTCCACCTGAGAGCAAATAAACTCGATGGGATCATCCAGAGTGGGGTCCAGGCTGGACAGAGTTTGAGTAAATCCTTCCGCGGCTGAAATTGGTCGGATAGGATCACGACAATATATTGAAACACCTGGAATGTCAGGTTGTGAATTGACCAAGGATAAAACGGCACTGAAGGTGATACTAACCGGAATATCCCGGTCTGTTGAGACAGAGACTGAAATAAGCATTATAACCGTCCACGCATGCTAGTTCGCTGTCGAGGTCACCTGAATCGGGGAACAAGGAGCAGTGATAAGCACCGAGAAACTATTCGACGTACGGGAACATTTAGTCTCTTGAAAACAAATAACGTCCGCATTCAGACTGTCCAAAAGTGGTTTTAACGGGCTCGGGAGTGTGCGTAGTCCATTCACATTCCACGTGCAGACGCGTAACAGCCCACGGGACATCAGTGAACGGGGATGAAAGTGATTGGCAACGATTCAAAGCGTGCACAAACGAGCGCGCCCGCGCCAGAGCTAGATTTGGTTCATTTCACTGGAACAAAAATGTGGACAGAAGTTTAGATGAATATGACGCAATTGCGGGGTGAACGGCTGGCTAGAGCGCTTCAACAGCGATCTAATCGTGAATTGGGCATACGGAAAAATTATCA